TGAGTTGAAGTCTCATTCTGTCGCCCAGGCTTGGAGTGCAGTGGCACGTTCGTGGCCACCCCAGCGTCGACCTGCTAGGCTCCGGTGATCCTTCTGCCTCAGCCTTCCAAGTAGCCAGAACTACAGGCATGCGTTACCATGCCCAACTAATTTTTTATTTATTGTAGAGATGAGGTCTTGCTAAGTTGCCTAGGCTGGTCTCTAACCCACGGGCTCAGGTAATCCACTCATCTCAGCCTTCCAAAGTGCTGGGATTACAGGCTGAGCCACCGTGTTTTCAACAGCCTCATCCACTATTTAAGGCTTTATGCTCAATGGAGCTATCTATTTTTAATCAACAGCCTGTATTATATGGTTGTAATTATAAAATTTTGCATTCTGACTTTTTTCACATTATAAAGTTTTGGGGGTTTTTGTTTTGTTTTGAATCAGAGTCTCATTCTGTCACCCAGGCTGGAGTGCAGTGGCACGATCATGGCTCACCACAGCCTTGACCTCCTGGGTTCAAGAGATCTTTCTGCCTCAGCCTCTCAAGTAGCTGGGAGGCACTCACCACCACCACCACACCCTGCTAATTTTTTTGTAGAAACGAGGTTTTTCTATGTTGCCCAGGCTGGTCTCCAACTCCTGGGCTCCAGCGATTCTCCTGCCTCCGCTTCCCAGAGTGCTGGGATTATAGGCATGAGCTACTGTACCCAGCCTATAAAGTATTTGGAATGTTATAAATTCTGTACATAATTTTAGTGAACATGCTGTAGTTTACACAATATTATTTATCAAACACCTAACAATAGAGAATGGGTTGAAATATATACATAACATTATTTATTGAACACCTAACATTAGAGAATCAGTTGAAATAAATGGTAGTGCATTTATATAATAAAATATTAATAAAAGTGTGTAATAAAAGTATACTTCTTAATATAGAAACATGTTCATGGATTATATGTAAAATGAGATGGTTTTACCTAAGGATCACTACCTCCCAAGTCTGTGGACATTTCCTACCTCAACTCAGCAACTTCCAAACTTTAATGAGCCTCACAGTCACCAAAGGAACTTGTTAAATGGGGATTTCAGACTTTTATCCCCAGAGTTTGACTGAGGAGATAGAGGCCAAGGCTCAGGAATTGGCATTTTTACAAGGATCCCAGGTGACTCTTTTTTTTTTTTTTTGAGTTGGAGTCTCACTCTGTTGCCCAGACTAGAGTGCAGTGGCTGCTCCTGGCCACCACAGCCTCGCCTGCAGGGCTCCAGCGATCCTTCCGCCTCAGCCTTCCAAGTAGCCAGAATTACAGGCATGCGCTACCACACCCGGCTGATTTTTTGATTTATTGTAGAGATGAGGTCTCACTGCCCAGGCGGGTCTCGAACCCGTGGGCTCAGGCAATCCACTCACCTCAGCCTCTCAAAGGCGAAGGATTACAGGCTGAGCCACCGAGCCTGGCTCCCAGGTGACTCTTATGTGGGACAGACACCTCACCCATTTCTACCTGCTGGAGCTCCACTAGATTTCCCAAGCTTCTCCTTCTACTTTCTTCTAAACTCCCTAGAGTACATTGAAGCCCTTGTGTACTTTCTTGTCTTATAGATCTCAGTGAATTCTTCTAAATTGTAAAACTCTTTCTGGTTCTCCAAGTAAACCCAGTTGGGCACCTATGTCACAGCCTTAGGATTTGTGTCAAATTCTGAATGAGTTACTGAATATAGATACAGTAAGTCCCCTACATACAAACCTTCAAGTTGTAAACATTCAAAGACATGAGCATGTGTTCACATGTCCAATCACGTTAGTTCACATGTCTGGCATACATTGTCACATGTGTGCATCCTCTAAAAGTGGCTGTGCTTTTGTGTTCTTTACAGTACTGTATGGAGTACAGTAGTACAGTATCTTTATTTCAAGCCCAGGTTGTCTAGAAGCTAGCGTAAAAGCAGTGGTGATATAGCTGGTACTATGTAGCCAATTATGTTAGTTGGGTACCTAGGCTAATGCTGTACTTATGAGCAAATTGGACATATGAATACACTCTCAGAATGGAATTTGTTCATATACAGAGGACTTTCTGTACTGAAATATCCGGAATCCAAAGTTTGTTTACTTTGTAATGAAGAAGCTAACACTTCAGAACTCTTCAGCACACCTGTTATAGCATGAATTTGGGGGAATAAAGGTAGTCTTTCCAACCTTGAAAAAAATCTTATTTAAATTACTTTTACTTTGGCAGTCAAGTTGTGAAAAGTAAATAGTTTGTCCTTTGCACATTTACTCTGGTCTAGGCCAGAGATAGCCAGTGTTAGTTGAAGAGGGTGGTTAAAATCCTCCAAGAGGCTTGTCATTCCAAAGGGATTGTGTGTATTCCTGAGGTCCATTGGTTGGCTTTCATTCTCAGACTGCCATTAAGGTCGTTCAAGGTAAGAGTCTCATCTTGCAGTTCACTTAGGGGCCAGTCGTGCTAACATTGAGATTGAGTTACCCACCAAAGTATTTCTTCACTTAGATTTTATCAGTGTGATTTCCCTCTTTCCTTAAACTGAATAATATTGGGTATCCATATCAAGTGGGATTTTTGTTGTCTTACACTTCCTGTTATGTAACAGGCCAGCTGTTGCAGATGCAGAGTTAGAAATGACTACTGATAAATGCCATGTTGAAGTGATACTGAATCTTCTCCTTGCCTGTGAGGGGACTAGACCATACTCGATATAAATCTGTGATTATTCTAGTCTTAAAAGCACTGACAGTTACAGAAAAGAATTCCCCAGAAGCAAACCTAAAAAGCCAGGTTGAACAGCTGGCTCATGAAAAGTTCCTTCTTTCACATGAGAATGTTAACTTGGAAGTGACATTACAGATGACAAGGAATTGATAACACTGGGAATGGGGGGAGGGGTTCTGGTTAGTCACATGCTTCTAGTGTGGAGTCACCAGACGGAGTGTATTTGTCCACAAGGCAAACTTGGAATCAGTCTTTAGAATCCTGCTTGGAAGCATCATCTGTAAAACCTACACCTGTAAAGCCTTACATGATCCCCCTCCTTGGGAAAAAAAACAACTACACATTTTTTATTTTATTCTACACCTACAACAGTCCCCTACACGAATGCCTATGACATGTCACACTGTAGTGTGATTATGTGTTTGTGTATTGTCATTCTTCACAAGATCAGAAGTTCACTGGGCATAGAGTATGTGACTTATTTGTACAGTCTGATCCAGGTTCAATATCTGGATATAGTCGTATTCCATACATAGATATGTGAATGAATGAATGAGAATTCTGCACTGAATGAGGGGCACCAGATAAGCTGCACTTTGTGGGTATTTTCTGAGAATTCTTGCAGTTACTGAATTTAGTTATTTACATTTTAATTTCATTTCATTTTAATTATTTTATTTTGAATTCAAGGGGTATAGGTTTGTTGCATGAGTATATTGCGTGCTGGTGAGGCTTGGGCTTCTCTTGAGCCAGTCACCCAGGTGATGGGCACGGTACCCAATGGGTGGTCTTCAACCCTTACCCTCCTCCCTCCGTCCCCCTCTAGGAATCCCAGTGTCTGTTGTTCCCATCCTTATACCCATGTGTATTCAGTGTTTAGTTTCCTCATCTGATGAACCCCTGATTTAAAGGACTAAATCTGAAATACTGCCAAAATCTGTCCAAGGTTGGCCAGCTAGTTGCTGTTTAATTTCTTTTCTGGGTTATTAAATTTCACATAGGCTTAATTATCACAGATATTTAAACTTTGTATATACATAATAGATATTGAACATACCCCAATCTCTAAACTGTATTAAAAATGCCAGGCAATTTTAGAATTGAAAGGGACATTTTTACTGGTTAGGAAACTAAGCTTCTTGAGAGACAGATTTTGTTAGTGGAACACTAGAATTGAAGTCTAACATAATAGGGTTCAATTCTTGGCTTTGGGGCCAAGACTTAACATAATATTTTTGAAGATCAGTTTTTTTTTTTCCTTTGTAAAATTTGGTTAATAATTCATCTCAGTGGATCACATGACGGGGTATTGAGATTACGTGAACCAGAGTAGTACCTGTAATGTCTACACAAAGCAAATTCCTTCCTTGTACAAATCATACTTTGGCAGAGCTGGGACTTAGAAGCCTTCCTTGGCATTATTAGGGTGGGTTGTGGTTCCCAGTTTACCAGACGGGACTCACACACATCAAGGATGCTACAGAGGGGCAATGTCACATCAGCATTTAAATACAAAATCCAGGATTGATTTATTTATTTTATTTTTATTTTTTTGAGTCAGAGGCTCACTCTATCGTCCAGGCTAGAGTGCAGTGGCACACTCACGGCCACCACAGCCTCAACCTGCTGGGCTCAGGTGATCCTTCCACATCAGCCTTCCAAGTAGCTGGAAGTATAGGCACGCACTACCACGACAGGCTAATTTTTTTATTTATTGTAGAGATGAAGTCTCACCACGTTGCTCAGGCAGTTCTCTCGCCTCCAACTCCCAAAGTTATGGGATTACAGGCATAAGCCACCGTGCCTGGCTAGGGATTTCTTACTTTAAAAATAATCTCCCTTCTGAGTTCATTTTATTGCTAGTATTGCTTGTTTCACTTTCCTTGGCTGAAAATTACAACATCCTCCCAGTCAACCATCAAGTATAATGTAACTTTGTGTGAGTTAGCAAGGTCACTTCTGAGAGGCTCTAGGATTGCAGAGCAAAGTCTATGCACATTTTGGAAGAATAAGATCTACATAGTCTAACAAGTCTTCAGTGTTTAAAAATCATATTATAAAGTAATAAGTGAAACATTTGTGCTAAATTGAAAGGGTTTCTTTAAATTCTGACAATAAACAAAGAACGTTTTAAGCACGGAAATGTTAGTCCAAGGAACTAAAGTCACCATGAAACGTTAATCAGGTGGGAGGAGCAGCGTGGCTTGTTTCCTATCTCAGGGTTCATTTGTCATTTTAAAAGACAACTGATTTTCTATCTTTTTCTTTCCTGTAAAGGCAGAAACCTGTGGGTTCTTGTTGTGGGACGGTTTCCAAAGGAACACAGAATTGGGATTCCAGAGTTCAAATACGTGGCAAATATGCATGGAGATGAGGTATGTATGTGGCTTGAATTCCTGAAATGTCACCAAAGAAACTTCCCCTCTGGTCTCCTGGGCTCTGTGTAAATGCTAGAGAAAGCATGGAGAAGTCTTTAGAGTACATCATAGCAAAGAAGTAAAGCCCTTGAAGGGTCTTCCTGTGAGGCCTGAGAGCATTTCAGGAATCAGGATCCATCAGCCATCTGGTTGTGTACCCGGTGCCCTGTGAGAGTGACTAGAACTTGTATTGTGTTTGGGGCTGGGAGAACAACAGTGGCCAGGCTCTGAACTACTGCCAGTCAATCCTGCCCTTCTTCCTGGGTTGAGTTTTCCCACCTCCTGGTCAGCATGAAGGTAACCCAGCACAGGAGCTCTATTATATTTGAACTCAAAACAATAAGAAATCCCAAATAGCTTTCCAGACTCCTAAAATCTGGCTTCTTGGAAGCTTTCTTCACTCTCTCTTAATCGAATACTTGGTGTTTTCAGTGTTTCAGTTTAGTCAGTCACACTTAGGTTCTCTCATACTCACGTCCAACAAACACTCTTGACTGGGCACAGAGCTAATGCTTGTAATCCTAGCACTTTGGTAGGCCAAGGAGGGAGGATTGCTTGAGACCAGGAGTTTAAGATCAGCCTGGGCAACATGGGAACACCTCCTACCCCATCTCTACAAAAAAATTAAAAATTAGTTGGGCATGGTGGCACATGCCTGTAGTACCAGCTACTCAGAAGGCTAAGGCAGGAGGATCTCTTCAGCCTAGGAGTTTGAGGTTACAGTGAGCTCTGATTGGCCATTGCACTCCAGCCTGGGAAAAACCCGTCTCAAAAAAACAAAAAAACAAAAAAACAAGAAACACTCTTAAATTCTTTAGCAATGCTTTGCCTCTTTTCCAATTTAGCAGGGATAAGGTCTATTTTTATTTTATGTTTTTGCAAAATACCTTTACCACTCTTATCTGCCCAGCCATTCTTGCTAGGCAGGTGAAGATGGTCACCTTTATTTCCCACCTCACTTCTTCATATTTTCTAAGAACATGACAACTGCAGTATTTTCTATTTCCTAGGACTCCATACAATGGACATTCAAATAGCTCCCAGTTATCCTAGTGGGGAAAATCTGCATAGGACTATGGGTGATACCTGATAAGACACACTTAGCTTTAAGAAATTTCAAAGTAAATGCATATTCCAATAAGTACAACCTGCTGACTTGATTCACCACTTCCGGATGTGCAGCAGCATGAGTGGCATACTCTAATCAATGCTGAGCTTCTTGTTTTGTCTTGCCCCACCCCCACCCCAACCATCTGTAGCACTGGATCCACCCTTGGTGACACATACAGCCTCCCCTGCCAGGCATGCTGCCTGACCTGTCCTGCTGAGAGGGCACTTCTTTCAGCCAGAGCTAAGATGCCAGCACTCCTCTCTAACAAAGGACGTAGGCTTTGAACCCAATTTATGGGTGGGTGAAAGTTCAATCCACCTGTGACTTTTTAAAAGTAACAGACTGCTCCTTTAAAACACTTTGCATTGCCTGGAGTCTGACCGAAGTTGGTTTTAGTAAGACAACTGTTTGTTACAGACAGCAGCCCAGACTTCCTTTTGCTTTTGCTATCCTAGTCTATTGATCAAGGTCCCTTGAAATCCATTTCTAACAAGAGACATATGGCGCCCATTGTCTTCTGTAGTTTATTTATCGAATTCCTGTCATTGCCAAGGTTGCAGCCTGCTACTCAAAAATTAGTCCTGAAACTTGCAAAGATAAGCAAGAGTCCTGTTCCTCACCTGCCCTTGAATTGGCTTATTCCTTCCATGCAGTTTTCCAGGTTCCTGGTATCTTGCTGTCTGGGTAGTTAGTGTAGCCCATCAAACCAGGGCTCTCTAGTCTACTCCACTCTGATTTTCTGAGGAAGGCTGAGAACTGAGATTAGACAGGGGAAAGAGTCCCAGTGTATTTTGGGGTTGGAATCTGAGGCACTGTTACTTCCTATCTGTCCCAGCTCATGGAAGTGTCTGGGGGCTTTTGGGTCTGGTAAGAAATGTATTCTGAGCTGGGAGTGGTAGCTCACACCTGAAATCCCAGCACTTTGGGAGGCCAAGATGGATGGATCGCTTGAGTCCAGGATTTCAAGATCAGCCTGGGCAACATAGCAAGACCTTATCTCTACAAAAAATTGCCAGGCATGGTGGCATGCACCTGTAGTCCCAGCTACTAGAGATGCTGAAGTGGAAGGATTGCCTGAGCCCAGGAGGTCAAGGCTGCAGTGAGCCATGATTGTGATGATCATGCCACTGAACTCCAGCCTGGGCAACAAAGTGAGAACCCAACTAAAAAAAAAAATATGTTATTCTGAATTTGAGATCTTATGTATTCTGTGCTCCCAGAAGCCACTAGAAAGTGAGGGCCTACCCTAGGAGCAGGAGTCTGAGTACCGGTCTCACTACCACCTCATTCCTTCCATAGATCTTTTAATATTGAAAGCATTTTTTAAATCTCCCTATTAAAAAGCAACATACCTGGTATGTTGAGAACTGTGATTCTCAACAATTTTTGGACGTATTCCTTATTGTTCTGGTGTAAACTTGACCTCTGACCTCAAAGTCTATGGATCTTCTAGAAGTTAATGGACCTCATGTGGAGAATCCTGGCAGGAGGCACACACACTGAGTGGCACGGTGGGCAGAACTGACCACACTATTTTAAAAGTGTTTCCTGTCTCCCTGGGACCTCACTCCAGAGTGTGCATGCATGCATATACATGCATCCATGTGTGTGTCCCCACACGTAATACCATGGCTGGATGACAGTGAGCACCACTCAACTTTATCAGAAAAACCCAGTTTTGTTGATCAGACCTGCCATCCCCCCCACACATATTTTACCTCTTTGTGACTTTAGAATTGGGTGTTTTTTGAATTAAAAACGATCTGCTATTATTATAAAATCAACATATGTGCATCTAAGAAAAAATATAAACAAAAAAGAAAACATAGGCCGGGTATGGTGGCTCAAGCCTGTAATCCCAGCACTTTGGGAGGCCGAGACAAGAGGATTGCCTGAGCCCAGGGGTTCAAGACCAGCCTGAACAGTATGGTAAGACCTTGTCTCTACTATAAATCAAAAAATTTGCTGGGCATATTGGTGCGCACCTGTCGTTCCAGCTACTTGGAAGGCTGAGGCAGAAGGATTGCCTGAGCCCAGCAGGTTGTGGTGGGTGTGAGCATGCCACTACACTCCAGCCTTGGCGACAGAGTGAAACTTTGACTCAAAAAAAAAGAAAAAAGAAAACACTGTATACTGAACTTCTAAAAATTAGTGCTGTTAATTCCTTATTATTTATCCTTCCAGATATTTGTGTGTGTGCACGTGCACTTTTACCAAATGAGGCTATGTTGTTCATCTTTTTTTTTTTTTTTTGAGTTGGAGTCTCACTCTGTTGCCCAGACTGTAGTGCAGTGGCTGCTCCTGGCCACCGCGGCCTCGACCTGCTGGACTCCGGCAATCCTTCCACCTCAGCCCTCCAAGTAGCCGGAATTACAGGCATGCGCTACCATGCCCGGCTGAATTTTTTTTTTTTTGATTTATTGTAGAGATGAGGTCTCACTGCCCAAGCGGGTCTCGAGCCCGCGGGCTCAGGCAATCCACTCACCTCAGCCTCCCAAAGGCACAGGATTACAGGCTGAGCCACCAAGCCCGGCTGTTCATCATATTTTAAAAGTTAATCCTAACTCCCTTTTTGTGTCCATAAGTGTTTTTCCTATCTTTATCTTATTCCTCACTTTCTAGTTTCTCCAGTTGTCCTCAAAATGTACCTAAGATTGTCCAAATCAGGATTCAGCCCGGCCCATACCTCACATTTGTTGGACATACTGGATCTCTTTCAATCCAACATTTCAGGTCTCTTCATTATCCTAGTCCTGATAAAGAGTCATTTGTTATCTGCTCTGTGGGATGTTGCACATTCTGCATTTGTTGTTTGCTTATAGAATCACTGAGCTTGTGCCTCCAGTCCCTTTCTTGACTCTGAAAGAAGGAGATCTCAAGGTCTGCAGGATTTAGGAAAACTTTTTTGGCTAATACATATCTTAGGAGTTGTGATGGTTAATTTGATTGATGCCTAGGCTAATTAACCTGGGACACCAAGAATGCAAAAAGCAAACTAGGGATAGCAAAATAAACTGAAAATGGTCCAATTACAGGCAAGTATTACAAAAGAAGTATAGTTAAACCCACTCCTTAATCTTGGACAATCAGTTTATTCTTAAAGGTCACTGTTCTATCAGGCGCAAGGTCCACATTGTAGATATTTTTCTTGTTGTCTTCAGTGACCTTGCCTTCGTCTCACATCCTTCCTGTGACTCCGGATCACTACAAGTAAGTCAGGCTGACAAGTTACCTTCTTATAAAGTGATTTACAAGAAAATAATGACAATAGCTAACATTTGTTGAGCACAGACTATATGAAGTGCTTTGTGGGCATTGATTTCTTTGATCACCTCTGCAGAAGGCATGCTTCCCATGTATCCAGAAGGGAGTCCAGGTTTGCGTTTGGTCCTCAGCTGTCTCAATCCAGAGCCCGACATGGGCCTTCCCGGCCATGTGACTGCCCCTTGACGCTCTCTGTTTTATTGTTTTAGTTGTTATGTGTAGACCTGTGATCAACCTCAAGTTACTTTTGTTTGGATGGATACCCAGTTGTTCCAGCACTATTTGATGGAAGATTTGGGCTCATTGATCATGTAAGAGAGTAATAAGTTCTTAGAGAAAGCAACACTTGAATAAGTATCTCCGAGTAATATATCTGTCCCTTTCTTCTTCCTAACCTCACTGCCTTCTGCTTCTCTCTCTTTCCCTATTGTGGAATCACCCTGGGAGCTAACACAGCACTCACGATGAGCCTTCGTTTATGCTGTTTTCAGAACAGCCTGAGAGAAACGTGTCTGAGGTTCTGCCTTTCTCATTTGAGTAAGACTAGTAGGTGTTTTTCTAGCTCATCCAAGCACATGTTTGC